AGGTTCAACCATATTTTGAGTAAGATGTTTTCACTCCTCTCACATCAAAATTACTCATGTTACTTTGTGTGGTTTGAGTAATTTGTTACGTGTTTGCAGTATTTATATTGAATATTTAAGACAACTAAATCCTAGTATTTCGGTGCCCAAATTGACCAAGACATTTCATCCCATTTTCCTAAATGGTTTAAAAAATATGTAAGTTTTTGACTTATATGTCTTACAAATATTTATTCCGACTTACATAGTCTAATGTGTAAAGGACTTTGCTGTCTTTAGGTTCTAAATCCGTAAAATAATATTGAAGATCCATTATTGGTTAATTTGGCATGGGGTCCCAAGAGAAAAGTTGAATCATGGCCTATGTATGTTATCAATGGATACAAATTCCACACTATTGTTTGGAGTGAAGGCATGAATTCCCGTAACTATGGTGTTTATGTACGAGGAACCAATGGTCAATTAGAGTCGATTTTTATGGATTATTGTCTAATATTATTCAATTAGAGTATACTCGGTTTGCCATTGATGAATTTAGTTCTCTTTCAGTGTGAATGGTTTGACAATACTCTTAATATAGGAACCAAAGTAGATAATAAGTATGGAATCGTGGAAGTAAAGCAATCACGAAGATATAATAAAGCATATGATCCTTTCATATTTGCACAACAAGCGTAACAAGTTTATTACACAAGTTATCCGGAGGGACACCGAGGTTGGTCGGGTGTAATAAAGACAAAATCTCGTAGTAGAATCATTGATAATATAGTCAATCAAGTTGAGCATGAGACTCCATACCAAGATGATGAGCTTGTAGGACTTCAAGTAGTGCTTCGTGTTGATCCTAACTTCATTGATGATTCCCTTGCTGATGTTAATGGTGGGGGAGAAGAAATAGATATACAATTACTAAATGAAAGAAATATAGATGAAGATGAGGATGAATATATTTCAAGTGAGGATGAGACTCGAGAGTGATTTTGATGATACAGATACTTCGTAATTCATGCATTAAAATTATTTTTACAATTGTTAAATTTGATTGTACACCTTTATTTAATATTGCATATATATACATATATATATATTGATATGATTATGATTTAATTATTTGTAGTGAATGAGTGGTAAGCTAACCGACACGTTTGGGTGTAGAAAACAAAATCGTGTAATTCATTGTTTCAATTGTTTAATTTTATGCATGTTACATATGTAATAAGATCCGCTTGTAGATGCCACAAAGGGGTAGAAGTGGTGGTCGTAGACCACCTCATCGTGGTGGTCGAGGTGTACTTGTTGATGATAGAGGTTCACCTAGCCCTAACTCTCCTAGTTCCGTTCGACCAAGATCCATGGAGTCTACTAATCCTATGTTTGTAGAACGCACACCTCCCTCAACTCAGCAGAATCTCCCGTAGCTATAGTAGGAGAAACAATTCCTACTACCTTCTCTACCGAGGCGACATTTGGTCAACCTACACAGTACTCGGGTCGGCCGCAACCGAGGTTGAGTCTCGGAAATATGGTTGATCAAAGGCCATGGTTACAAGCAGACAAAGGAGAGTAAGTATGTTTTAATTTAATTATAATTCTTTAATATGAAATTTCTTAATAATATCAATCCCACAATATGTTTCAACACAAGGTTTATACCAAAGAAATGGTCCTCCCGCTATAATCTCTAGAATCATCAAACAAAAATTTGATGAACCAAGTCCCACTTGGAGAAAGGTTTCACTTGAGCTTCGAGATAGATGGTTTGGAGAGTTCAAGGTAATTTGAATTATAGTTACATTAAACAATGTCATTTCATTCTTATAAATTAAATGTTTGTTGTGTATTTTTTTATGCGTAAAGAGTATATATGGGATGTGGAACAAGAGCAAGCCATAAGATCTCGTTTTTGATAAGAAAGGTTCTCGAATTTTAAAAAACTCAATGAACAAAGTTAGGAATGGTAAGGATACTGGGATCTGGATACCGCCAGCTGCTCGAGCATCTTTGGACTTACATTGGAGTTCTCCAGCATTTCCAAAACAAGAGTGTCATTGCCAAGGCTAATCGAGCCGCTGATAAGGGTGCCTCAACTTACCGTGGGGGTTCCATATCTACTGCAGCTCACTTTGAGAAGATGGTAAGTTTATTATATTTTTATATAAGTAATTTAATACAATATATTAGACTTTAGGTAATGAATTTTGTCTCATTTTAATGTGTAGACTACTGGAGTTTCAACGGGAACCAACCGTTTGAGAGGTTGTTGAGAGGACAAAGAAATTAAAGACTGGACAATGGGTTAATGAAAAAACTCGTTATCTTGCTCGTATGTTTAACATCTAAGTTATAGTTTATTATTCAATATATGTTTTCTTCATAATAATTATATTTCACTTCATTTTTAGGAACAATATATGCAACGCAGAGAAGAAGTCCATCAACATAACTTGCGTGAAGGCTCATCTTCACAAGAGTCTCCTATTGTCTCTATTGATGATAATGAAATATACTTTTCAGCTTGTTGGAGGTGAAAATAAAAAAGGAAATGTGTATGGACTTGGTACATTGAGCAAAAAGTTCACTACTACATCAGGTTCTCAATCTTCTATTACTCAAACTCCAGTACTTCATCAAATTGAACAAATGCGTGAGACTATTGAAAAGTTAAATGTCGAATTGGTGGCAAAGCATAATAAGGAGAAGACACTTCAAGAAGAGATGCAGGAGTTGAGGAACAACCAACGCCAACAAGATGAGCAGATGAAGCAGATGCAGCTTATTTTACAACATATTCAAATGAATAGTCATCCTACTACAAGTCAACATGATACTGACAATATACCAAAGGACTAATTTTCATTTTTATGATATTAAGACTTTGAATCTTGAGTAGTTGTTTAGAAACATTTTATTTTTGTTATGACTTTGAATTGTTCTTATTATGATTTGAATAATTTGACTTTAGTTCTTAAGTTTTCATTTGTGTTCCGTTTGGATCAATTAAGCAGGTACAAATTTTGCAAAATTGGATATACAAAATTTTAAACAAAAAATTTCAGATTTGGTTAGATTAGCGACCGAATTTTTGGTCGCTACAAATATATTATAATATACAATTGAAATTTAGTGACCAAAATTATTCCGTGACTATTTTTACGACCGATTTAGCGACCGATTTAAATTATTATTTAAATAATTCAATTAATGTATTAGCGATCGATTATATCGGTCGCTATTATTTTTAACTTTGCCTCCAATTTAGCGACCGATTTAATATATTAATTTCTGACACTATTTTTGCGATCGATTTAACGACCAATTTTAATTATTATTTAAATAATTTAATTAATATATTAGCGACCGAATATATCTGGTCACTATTTTTTTAAACTTTACCACCAATTTAGCGACCGATTTATTATATTAATTTCGGTCGCTATTTTGGTCTTTAAGGAATAAGTAACCAAATTATTTAGCGACCACCTTATCGGTCGCTATTTTGCGACCGAAATGTAAATCGGTCGCTAACAAATTAGCGACTTGACCTTTTGCGATCGAACCATTTCGGTCACTAACTCGAATAGCGACCGATTTTTTGCCTTTAGCGACCGATTTTTTCGGTTACTAATAATGTTTTTTCTTGTAGTGGTAATAACAAATAAAAAATTATATCAATATTCCACATTTTTATACTATACTACATTATAAAAATAATAAAGAAAAAAATTTGTTTATTATTTTTTTTACAATATCTCTTTTATTTTTAATTTCTTATTTAATACCTTTAATCTAAATAAAAAAATAAAAAAGTTAAAGAACAGAAAATTAGTTTTTTATGCTTTAAAGATAAAACTATAAAAAAATGAAAATTAAAGAAGAAAAATTATTAAATTTAATACTATAAGGTGAAATCATAAATGAGAGAATATGAAAGTAAACGAAGATAAAAACAAAATAAAATTATGAGAAGACAAAATGAGTAGTTGAGGTGAGAGAAAAAAAAGATAGAAAAAAATATATAATTGAAATGTTGTGTAAGAAAATGTATATGATATTTATTATAAATAAAAAAAATTAGGAAAAATAAATAAATAGGAATTAATTATGTTTATATAATAATTTTATTTCATTTAAAAAAATAATAGTATATATATATATATATATGTAAATAAATAATTAATATATAAAGTTTTAGAGGACCATTTTCTTAGTATAAATATTTTAAATTCTCTTGGATCATTATATATAAATTAAGAAGGAAAATATTTTATTTCTTAAAAATTTAGTCAGTAACTGTATTATCCTTTTTATTCCTTTTTAAATGTATTAGTTATCTTTATTTATATTTACAAATAATTATTTAAATTACTAAGAGAATTTCCAATTTTATCTTTTCGTATATTGTTTTTCTTGTTTTAACTAAAATAGTTGTCTTGTGTTAATTATAAGTTATTTCTTCTATTTTAAAATATATGATATTTTTTGAGAAAAAATTATTTCTAAAGATATGTGATTAGTAGAGTTTAGATTATATTAATTACCTTTTACTTGTCATTTTAACTATATTTATTATAAATAGAGAAAATAATAAATTATAAAGAATCATTTTGAATGGAAAGAATATTAAAATGATAAAATATTAATGGAAAAAGATATCGAAAATAAAAAGTTAATATGAATTTTTTTTGCATAAAATGATAAAATATTAAAGAAAAAAGATGGATAAATTTATTAAAAAAGTAAAAAAAGTAAGATATATTTTATGTAATATAACATTAATCATCTAATATATTTAGAAATAGAGGGAGTAAAAAGGTTTGATAGTACGTGACTAATGATGTTAACATGTGTTATTGCAAGAGCATCTAGGACGAGAAATTCAATTTTTTTTTAACAGGAATCATCATCAGGTAAGTTAATTAATACACACAATCCAAACAACAAAGAATGTATAAATTATTGAAATCAAGAAAGTATAAATTAGGGTTTGAAGTAGAACTCACATGGATTTTATTTCTTTAGATTTAACTTCAGCAGCTACCCACGCGGGTACCGGTCCAGTGAATGAGTTTCCAGTGAAATATCTAAAAACAAGAAACACAATCATTTATTGAAATGATACTATTTAAGCTAATCATCCTTCATCTCATGCTCTTCCTTTTTCCCCCTTTCCTCAAATCAGAATAATATCTTCAAAATTAAGAAACTGTGTTATTATCAAAATACTGTTTAAAAGGCCCAACCTGAAATTTCTATTTTACTCGTCAAATGCTATTTGATAGTGTGACCTAATTACAAAAACACCAATATCAATAATTATTTTTCAATAAAAACTTTTAAAATAATAAATAAATTTAAAATATGTTTTTTCTTATTTCCTTCGTAAATTATTTGTCCGTAATAATATTTTGTCTGTCAGTATTAATTTTTTACTGTTTTTAGTTCAAACCCAGTTTATATAACACTTTAAACAGTAAAATAATGTCTCTAGACGGTGTTTTAGGGACAAAAATAAAACAAAATATTACTAGGTATGAAAAAAAAAACATATTACGAATCAAGAGGAATATTTGATCATAAATTAAAGGCCAGAAATATATTTAATCTATAAAATAAATGAAATGTATATATTTTTCCACACAAAAACAAGTAAAATTGGCTTACATGTAAGTCAGCTTTGATAGGTTTTCAAATGTCTCTGGAATATCTCCGCTTAATTTGTTAAAGCTCAGGTCTCTGGAAGGGAAATATTGTCCAAAATAAGTTATGAAATGCTAAATAAAATAAATAATAAAACATTAAGATATCTGACTAAAAATTAAATCATGCATAAACTTAACTTTTTTTTTTTTTCAAATCATAAACTTGACATAATCAAGTATTCGAAATGCTAACTTAATTAGCCAGCATTTAACATATAAATCAATACTAGAAAATTTTACAAATAGAGTTCAAATTGGAAACAGATTACATGAATAAACACTTACAAGGTTTTCAAACTGTCAAGGCTTGTCATGTTCCCAAGATATGGAGGTAATGTGTCATTAATTTGGCAATTCCTTAGTATCCTACGAAAAATTATATCAAATTTGTGAAATTTGCATCAAAATTATGTTAACACGCAATCTCTCTTTCCTTGCTGTAACAGTCTTAAAAAGGAATTAATTAACTCACAATGTTTCCAACTTTGTCATATTATTAATCTGTGGGAAAGTAGAATCAGATCCATTAACCAAGTCACTGATTGCCCTGCATTCAATATTTTGATGGAAATAAGAAAAAAGGTTTAACATTAGGTCATAATTAATTTATGAAACACTGTACTTACACAGTTTCCAAGTTTTCCAGAAATGAAATCTGAGAAGGAATTGGCCCACTTAAACCACTCCCTTGAATTGCTCTGTTAACAACACAATTGACACAGATTTAAGAAAAAAAATAACAGAAATGTAACACCACATTACATTTTGGTCCAACAGCAAATGGTTCGTACAAAATTGTTAGATTTGTCCATCTTTGAATAAAATCAGGTATCTTTCCAGAGAAATTATTGTCATTAAGACGACTGCATGGAAACAATGGAAAGTGTGAATTAAAGAAAGTTCAAAGTAACTAAAAGAAAAAACAAAATTTCAGCAAAATTCAAATTATCTAAAGACAGTAAAATGGGAAACTTACAGTTCTGTCAATGTTGTAAGTTTAGCCAAAGTTGCAGGAAGCTCTCCAATGAAGTTGTTAGAGGAAAGATGTCTGTAGGCACAATAAAATTTAACATGATAGCATGAATGAATCTGTTCATAACATTGATATTTAAGATAGTAAAATCCTTGGAATGTAGTTTTTCTGGGATAAATATTTATGAATTTTTATAATAATTATTTAAAAGTAATAACTTTTGTAACTAGATAAAGGTTTTAATAAAATGGAAAAGTTTTTATGAAAAAAATCTTTTTAATGTGAGGGAATATGATAAGAAATTTCTCTCCATATCAATTAAAATCTCATATACAATAATATCATAATATGTAACCGATGTTTAAGTATCATCTCATGATTTTATTTCTCTATTGTAGCTTGATAATTCAGCAGCAAAGTTAAATAAAATAAATCAAGTAGGATATAATACAGGGCTTACAATCTTTGAATGCGAGAGAGGTTTCCAAGGTGTGGAGGAAGATTTTCAGTGAAGTTATTGAATTCCAGAACCCTATTCGTTTGTAGTAAGTTATAAAGAACAGTATAACTTCAAATTGGAAATGGAAAAATCTTAAATCTATGTGTGGATAGCCAAAAACTCACAAATGTTCGAGCGTTGTGATGTTTCCTATTTCCTTTGGGATGGGACCAGTGAGTCGATTTCCAAGAAGAGAACTACCATGAAAATGGAAGACACGAATTAGATAAATGTTGAGGAATAAGTAGAGAAAAGAAGGAAAGTAGAGAAACTACATGGTTCGGAGTTTGGAGGAGCCCCATGCAGTAGGTATTGTACCGTTAAGGTAATTGCGAGTGAGATCACTGCATCAAAATAAAGAAAATCGAAGTAATTAATCGTTGATTCATTATAGTTAGTGACAAATGCATATATGCAAGTAAATAAACATATTCATTGTTCTTCAAATAAAATTGATTATTAATTACGTACATTTCTTCAAGGTAAGGCAACCTTATCAGGTCGGGTGGGAGCGTGCCTGTAAGATTTTGTGTTTTCAGCAGTCTGTCAATTATTTATACAACATAAAAATGGAACATTGTTATAAAACATTACAAATAATATTTTGATAAAAAAGTGATGTAAATGTTCAGAAAGATCAAGAAAATTAAATTTCAGATACTATCTTAAATTTTAGAAACTACCATAATTATGAACTTCTTGTAAGTAATCCCATAAAACTATTATAAGAATCTAAAAAGATAAATTATTAAAATGTAATCTAAGAAAAAGCTCCTAATTTAAAAAAAAAAAATCTTATACTTATACATATTGGTGTTAAACCAATATTAACATGTTGTTTTCTCTGCAAACTGACTAACTGTGGTTGACAGTTAGTACAACTGGGTGTTTTCGTTTTTTAGTTGTTTTTGGTAGCTCTGGTTCATTTCCCTTTTCTCTGAATAGTTTGTATATAATATTCTGTACAGCTTTCATTGAATATATATAGTGTGCATTGCTTATTCCTTTCTTTTAACCCCTGGTTCGTATATGGTATCTAGAGCATAGTTCGATCTAGGGTGAGTGAGTGTGGTCCCCTCTGAAATACTGAGTCAGTTGTAATCTCAGTAGTTTCTTTTTTTCCGCACGTGAGAATTCTTGCTATACCAAGGATCGAAAGAACAAAAAAAAAAAAAAAAGGGTTCTTGGCATTAATCAAGAAAGGTGCGAATGGCTGGATTTGGAGGAATAATGCAAGGAACAGGGGCGTTACTAGTTTTTTATGGAAAAGTGTTTGAAGATTGGCGTATCAAGATGCAGACCATCTTTGGGTTCTAGATGTGCTGTTAGATGGAATATTTGAACTAGGACCTAAAGCAACTTATGAAGAAAAAAGAAATTACAAGGTGCAACAGAAGTTGGATAGCAAGCTGTGTTTTCTTCTCTATCAATGCGTGAGCCCAAAGATCTTTCATAAAATTTCAAAGGCTAATACAACCAAAGAAATATGGGAGATTCTTGTTAAAACTTATAGAGATGGTGAAAGGAGTAAAAAGGCCAAGATGCAAACCTTGCCACGTCAGTTTGAATGCTTGGCAATGGAGGATAGTGATACAATTGCGGATTACTTTGATCGTGTGCAGGAACATGTCATTGCCATGAGAGCCTACCGTGACCCAATTATTGATGAGTATGTTGTTGACAAGATTCTGAGATCTTTACCACCAAAGTATGATCACATAGTTGTTGCAATTGAAGAAGCACAGAAACGTGATATGGAAATCATGGAATTGGAAGAGTTTCAACATTTATTAGAGTCACATGAGCATAGACTCAATGAACGTAAACAGTTTCAAGATTAGGTTTTACAAGCTCGTGCACATATGCATGGAAAAGGAAAAGGGTTTAAAAGTGGTGGTCAGAAGAGGTGTAATCATAAAGGTGTTCAAGAAAAGACAAAGAAGGATTCTGGTGATCATGAGAAACAAAAAAATCACAAAGATGATGGTGGTTCTGATCAAGAACGAGAAGGAAAGTTTGATAAGAAGAAAGTAAAATGCTATAACTGCCAAAAGTTTGGTCATTTTGCAAAGGAATGTTGGAAAGGAGAAGGAGCCAAGAACAAACCGAAAAATCAAGCTAATCTTGCATAAGATGAGACCTCTGACTCAGAGCCTATTATGTTGATGGCAAGAACTGATGATGAAGATGAAGGAGGTGAGTCATGGTATCTTGATTCTGGTTGTTCAACTCATATGACTGGAAGGAAAGAGTGGTTTGTGAAGACGAAGGAGGTGATGCATGGAAAAATCAAATTTGCAGATAACAGGAGTCTTAATGCTAAAGATTTTGGCAAGGTAGTGTTGCGTGATGGAAGTGGTAGAGAGGTAATAATTGAAGACGTGTTATACGTGCCTAGGTGGAAAACCAACTTGCTTAGTCTTGGTCATTTGCTGCAAAAAGGCTTTGTAATGCAGATGGAGGATAATACCCTTAGTGTATTTGACCAGAATAGAAATTGACCAGCAAAGCCAAACTTGTTGGCAAATTTTGGGTCATGTATATATATGATACATATTTAAATGTGTTAGGGTCATTATTTATTAAGCCAAATAATAAAGTGATCTGACTAAATTAAAGTTTTGGCTAAAAGCATATGTCATGAAAATAAAATTGTGTAGAGACCATAGAGCAATTTCTAATTTGATGAGGGGCCAAATTGGAAATACTAAAACTTAAGTAATTAACCTAATTCTGGTTATCTAAAGGGTCATGGTCCCCTTCTGAGAGCACACAGACAGAACGTAAGTTTCATTCCTGTTCCTTTCTTTCTATCCCCATCAAGAAAGAAAATCAAGAGGGAAATACAGGTGCTCTTCAGGTGGAAGACCATAAGATCAATATAGTGCTCTACAAAGACATCATCGTTATGGCTAATTCAGGTACGCTTTCGCATTCAATTTACAGCATGTTTATCAGTATGGGATTATGTTTATGTTTGATTGTTAGAATCAAAATCAGGATTATTATTATTATTATTGTTATTGTTTTTCCAACAATTGGTATCAGAGCCGCCCATATTTGATTCATGTCTGTTTAATTTAGAGAACTCTAATTATGAAAATTAGGATTAATTTTGTTTTAAACAATTCAGATTACCCAATTTTATGAACCCTAAGTGGAGGATAATCTCTAATTTTTGTGAACCCTAAAATTTAAATTTGGGGGTAATATCTCCAATCTGATTCTGCTTGCTGATGGAACCGTGGAGGAAGCTATGGATTCTTCTTCTTCTTCGTTTTTCACTTTTGTTTCAGTTTAAGTTTCAAGTTTTATTGAGAAAGAAACGAGTGTTTCATATTTCAATTTTTCTTGTATTGGGTTCTCTGTTCTTTTTTGAATCTTTTGTTTTTATTTAATTTTATGGGTTTGGAATTGGGGGTGGTGTTTGTGGAGTTCCCAATACAGAGAATCTTAGGTAAATGATGAATGTTTCCACATGTTTGGTCTGTTATTATTTTATTGCCTCTATCCCCTAGGAATTTAAAGAAAATTTGATGTTAAATTAGGGTCCGAGTGATTACCTGTTTAATTCCCTTTTAGGGTTTAGAGCAGTATGCTAAAGAGACTCGGAACTATCTCTGTTTCATCCCTAGTATGATTTTAGGAAGATGTTCATCCTTTATGTATTGGTGGAAAATGAGGCCTTTTTTCATCCTTTGATTTGTTCAAATGAGGTGTTCATCCCTAATGAGATTCTAGGGAGGTGTTCATCCTTAGTAGAATTATAATGAGGTGATTCTCTTTTGAATTAGTTTGCAAATATTAAATATTTGGTTTTGTTATATAAATAAAATATTCAATTTTTGGTAGTTTAATATTTTTTGTGAGCAAATTGAGTCAAGAAGTCACCAAAGTAACTTCTCTTGAATTGGGCAGTTCATGAAAAATATTGAATGTTAGTGTTTGTGTATATTCATGCGAGTATTAGTCGGCCCAAAGGAAGATTAATATTTGGTCGAATTGCATACACACTTGTAATGATAAACATGTGATAATTATAAGGATTTGCTTTGTCGATGATAAATCAATCCAAAGACTGGTTTGTTGTTGGACGTGCTTTATTGTCAATGTTTGATTATTACAACAAGATACCTCTAGCAGTTAATATTACTGTCAAAAGACTTGATATTGATGGTGCATTGGGTATCTTGAGATGGGTTAAACCACTATTTGAATATATATTATTTATTTTTTATATAATGTGAGCATAATTAGTTTAATTGGACTCCGAACGAGTAAGTGGTTATATTATTGGTTATGCTTGAAAGATCCAGGGGATATAAATATTATGATCCCACATTAAAGACAATTTTTTGAGACGGGAACTGCTACGTTCTTTGAGGATATTGAGTTTGGGGGGAAGAATAAGATTAAGAACTTCATCTTGGAGGAAGAATCGGTAACAATTTCAGAACCAATTCAAATAGTTACTTTTGATAAAGTAAGTTCGGAACCTCCACAAGGCATTGTTGATGAACCCCTTACTCAAGATGATTTGGTTGCTCATGAAGAACAAACTCAAGATCCTCAAGAACCTGTGCATCATGAGCTAATAACTTTGCAGAGATCCACTAGAGAAAGAAGAAGTGCTATTTCGGATGATTACATGGTATTTCTTCAGGAACATGAGGAAAATAATGATATAATGGAAGATGACCCAGTTAACTTCCATCAAGCTATATAAGGTTCTAAATCTCAAAAGTGGATTGAAGCAATATGATAAGTATAAGTCCATGCAAGACAATAAGGTTATTGGGAACTTGTCCCATTACCAGAAGGTATGAAACTCATTTGGCTTCAAGATGAATATTGTTGATGATTGTATGTATCACAAGTTTAAAGGGAGACAAGTTTAGTCTCAATCAGTGCCCAAAGGGAATTTGGAAATTGAGGAAATGAAAAAGATTCCCTATGCATCAGTTGTAGGGAGTTTGATCTATGCCCAAGTATGTACGCATCCAGGCATAGCATATATAGTTGGGGTTCTAGGCAGATATTTAAGCAATCCAGGAATAGACCATTGAAAAACAGCAAAAAGGGTCATAAGATATTTAAAGAGAACAAAAGATTATATGCTCACATATAGGAGGTCAGACCAGTTGGAGATCACTGGGTTTTCTGACTCAGATTTTGTAGGATGTCAAGAATTTGTAACTTGCTATGAGGCATCAAATCATGGAATATGGCTGATAAATTTTGTCACAGGGCTGCAAATTGTGAAAGGCATTGAAAGACCACTTAAGTTATATTGTGACAATAAATCAACTGTATTGTTAAGGAAAGAGTACAAAGTGAACAGATTTCCATAGAACACTTAAGGACAAACTCCATGATAGCATATCCTCTAACTAAAGGACTTCCGCCCAAGGTCTTTCATGAGCATGTTGCTCACATGGGTGTTTTACAGTTTGAGGAATTTGTGGTTTAGTGGGAGTTAGTCATTTTCATATATTTTATGTTCTATGTTTAATTTTATATATGTATACATTGTTTTTTGGACA